CCCTACACTGAAATGTTGGAAGTACTTAGTAGTTAATCTGTTCCTACAAAAGGCCTTATGCGGCATTGCCCTGTATGAAACCTCGAACCTAAGGCTACTGCTTTCTTTCCAACTCTGCCTCCAGTGCAGGTGTCTTGATACACGTGCTGAAGCTGGCAGTTTGCTGCTGGCAAACAGGACCTTTGGCTCGTATTCAGTCCCTTCATCAGCAGGGATTAGTGTGCATTACATCCAGGAGGAAATTAACCCCAAAAGCCTTTCCAAAGTGAAATGCTGGAGGGCTTCTCTGTTCAAGCCAGTGAATAGGTGTTATGACTCTAAATCCAATAATGGGCTGCAGGATAGCTTCTGGTAGAAGTTTGGCTTGGCTTTTCTCTGCTGACTGGCCATCATCCTTGCTTCCTTTGTACACAACTGCTTTTAGCTGAGGTGGTTGTAATTCTGATTGCAGGGGAACAAGGCCGGTTCTGGGGTGTTTACATGCTCAGCTTGTGTTGAGATCAAGAGTACAGGCTGAGTGCTTTTAGCACTTACTGACTGAACCATTAAATTTGATCAGTGAGCGATGTAAAATAGTTACTGAGCAAATAAGCAACAGTGTTCCTGCTCAACACCCTTGATTATAAGGCACTGTTGCCCACAGACCCTTGAGAATGCAATCCCTTGGTTGCTCTGCAGGCATATGCAATGGCTGTGTTTTAGTTTGTATTTGGATACAACTCTCCTTTTCTCATCTGTTCCCAGTGTGGAAATAGGTGAGAGTGTACGTGGGGAGGATGTCTACATTGTGCAGAGTGGATGTGGTGAAATCAATGACAATCTGATGGAGCTCCTTATCATGATAAATGCCTGTAAGATTGCCTCAGCTAGCAGAGTCACAGCTGTCATACCCTGCTTCCCTTATGCTCGGCAGGACAAAAAGGACAAGGTAAGTGATTTGGTAAGGGTTTCTGCTGGCAAGATGAATGCACACCGTGAAAGTTCTGACTGCTATATAGGGATTAGTTGAAGTTGAATATGTAGAGGAGGAGAGAAAACTTATTTTAATTTCTTTAAACTTCAGGGCATCAGACTGCAAATTCATCTTTTCATAAAGATCTAGTTCTTCTTGAAAATATACCAAGCTGTAATCACCAGTTGATGAAAAGATGCAATGTTAATGAGTACTCCTTTTAGTAACTGCTTGTGAATCATTGCCCAGAAGTGGAAGACTGACATCTTGATGAAGGAGTTGAACTTGTCTTAAATATTGTTGTTTTTTTTTCTCCTGTACTAGAGTCGAGCTCCAATTTCTGCCAAGCTGGTTGCAAACATGCTCTCTGTGGCAGGTGCAGATCATATAATCACCATGGACCTGCATGCATCTCAGATCCAGGTAGGAGCTAGAATCAGGGAGGTACTTACCTGTTCCAACCTGAGCCTTTTTACTGCCTTGCAGGCTTTCCAGTGATCTGTTCTTTTCAGACACAGCAGTGATCAGGACTTGGGAACATGGGACTGGAAGGGACTTGTAGCATCAGTCAGAAGAGGATGGGGAGATGGGTAACAGGTTCATCTGTAAATGAAATTATAGCTGTTCTTGATCAGACTAAGCATAATTAGTCCTGTGTAAATGAATGTTGGGCTAGTAAATGATCCGTGCAGCTTTATTGCCACACAGTGATGCTGTGTATTCTTAACTCGTCCTTTGAGGAAATTGAGATGGAGAATGGCTTTATGAAGAGTGTTGTTAAATATTGAGTAGAGCTTTCTGATATTTACTGAATTGTCAGGGAGAAGTGAGCAGTGCTCTGTTTGACACAGTGGCTGGTAATACTGCTGCCCTGAGGTTAGCTCTCCCTCCAGGTGTGCTGGCACAGCTGCTTGTGAGGGTTCAGTTGACCAGGACAGTGATCGGATAGCTTGCTGCTGACAAGATGGGCAATCCCACTTGTATCTGTTCAGTGCCACCCTTCCACATAAGTTGGCTTTGGTTCTCTCTTAAGCTGCTGGTGAATTGAAAATTACTCATGGGTTTTGCTCGCTTAGTGAACAGAATAGTCTCACAAAGCAACTGAAATCTTGACCAGAGCTGTGTAAAAGAAGTGGCAAGAGTGTATACTAGGGAGAGGAGGGACAGCAAGCTGTTAAATTATCCGTCTTGTCTCTTTCCACCTTGAGCAAGTGCTCTGAGACCAAGAAACCAACTCAGTGCAACCGACAGGGGTATGGGAGAGGGGAGGATATCTGTTGTATTGCTGCAAACACTTGGAATCCAGAAGGGTAAGATATCTACTGCCTGGTGAAGTAGGTGGGCTGTCTGTCATTTTAGCAGTTGAAAATGCAGCCATTCACACTTCACTATAATTTCTTCCAGTATAATATGCTCAGAAATACTCTGTCTCAGATGGAAAAAAATCTATGGGGGCACAGCTGAGAAGACTTTCAGAAAGATCATGAAATAAAAGAACAGAGCCCAAGGGGGTATGCCTCCTCCCTAAGAGGCTTGGAGTTGTGATGTGTGCCACAGGGTTGACCTTTCACCAGCAGCAACGGTGAGATTCAGTTGAATAATTGGGTTTGTGTACATAAGCTTCCAGCATCTGGCTGGTTTCAGCCTGGTTCTTGTAGTTGCTGGGTTGCTGAGCGCAGAAGGAATGATGGTAGGAAGGATCTGTTACCCCTATACCTTGAAGCATTCCTCTGGAGTAGCTGCCCCCACTCTTCTGCCTGTTGCTTCCTGTCCAGGATTAACTTCTGGCTTTTAGTGACCTTTGAGGTTTACCTGGAGGAGTCCGCTGGGTCAGTGTAAAGTTGTGGAACCAGCTGCATTAGTTTAAAAACAAATGTTACTCAAGCCTTTTTCATAGGTTTCCTGTAGATGTAAACAGTGTAGGTAATGAGCTTTAAAGATTGACTTTGTACACAGGCAGCTAGCTGCTCTGAAAATGAGTGCGTTTGCTGGTTTCTGCACCCCCTTGGGATAGAACTAGTTGCATGTTGTGAAGGTGTCAGATGTAAAGTGTTATTTATGCTGCTAAACTATTTCTGGCTCTGAAGACTTCTTATATTACTGTTCTGTGTATCCCAAAGGCTACTGCCCTTGCATTAAGGGAAGTAGAAAGGAAAGCTGAAAGCTGTGGAAAGGCGGTGGCTGCATGCCTGATCATATAGAAGGCTTCTTCCAACTGTTTTTGGAATGTGACCTTCAGCTACATCTGTTCCTGTCGTCTTCCTTGCAGGGTTTTTTTGATATCCCTGTTGATAACTTATATGCTGAGCCTGCTGTACTGAAATGGATCAAAGAAAATATTGCAGAGTGGAAGAACTGCACCATTGTTTCACCAGATGCTGGTGGAGCCAAGAGGTAAGCTGTCAGACAGCTAGCTTGAGGTGCTGCTTCTACATCTACCTGAATTCCTGAGAGTGCTTGTGACCTTATTCTTAAGACATGTTCCCCCTGCCAGCCTGTGTACTGTCCCTTCTGCATGACAGTCTGGCAGCTAGTGAAGAGTGGTTAGATATTCTTCCTAGGGAATGTTTAGAATGTTTCTTGGGCTACATGGAGAATTTAAATAGCTTCTAGAATCACAGCTGCATGGGTAGGAATTGCACAATTACTACATCCCTTGGACTAAAACAGTTTTTTGTAGAAGGGTAATTATACAGGTTGAAGGCAGGAATTGTGTAGCTCATACCCCTATGCCAAGACAAGGTTACTGCTGCTGGTTAATGACACATTTTTATCCAGGCTGTTTTCTTTGCAGTATTAAGCTTAGTCTAATGAGGCATTTTCTTACTTTATTACTCTTTATTTGAATATCTAGCTGGGTTTTAAGCCTGCTGCTACTCTTCCTCTTCCCTGCAAGCAAGGAAGATAGATGGTTCCTTTCCAAAAAGCAGCAGCATATGTTATAGCATATTTCTACTTTGATAGTCTGACAATCTCCCATCCTTATGCAGATAAACATGCCAGTCTGTGGGCAGTTCAGAATGTTCTCAGGTGCTTACTAGGAGAAACGAGGCTATTCCTTGATGCTTCTGTATAAGAGCTCCATGTGAGCAGCAAAGGAACACAGATGTATTCTTTAATCCAGGGCTATCACACCAAAGTGTTGGTGCATGCTGACCTGATTCACATACTTCAGAGTGTTTTAAGCTGTCTGTTAGAAACAGCCAAGAGATACTACTGCTTTAGGTCTTCCTGTAGCTTTGTTGTGGCCCATGTATTGGACAACACCTTTTGTATATTCAGCTACTTCTGTAGCTTGTTCTGTAATGCAGTATATGAAATGCCAAGTCAGCCAGCTGTAATCTGATTCCTGAAAAAGCCTCTTTAAAAGCAACTTAAACTGAAATGTGTCAGTCTTTAGCTGGTGCAATATTTTACAGACATACTGCAGAACCAAATACATTAGTAAACAGTTTAGTTAATCTTGTGTAGGGCTCCCAGGGTGATGGGTCTGATCTACCAAGGCTAGGAGTCTACTCATCTCAAGTGCAGAATTTCTTAGGGGCATGTGTATTTTGTTCCTTCTCACTCTTAATGCTTTTATACTCTTTATTATTCATCAGTATCAATATATAAAGTTTAGGTCCCTCTAGTAGGGTTGTTCTGTGGTCACTTTAACCAAAGTAAGCGTGAGGTGGTGGACTTGCCTTTCTTGGATGTGTACTCCTGCCACTGTCCTTGTGCCAGCACTTGTATGCATGACAATTGAATGCTTTTATAAGTGCAAGTAGATCCCTGTTGTAGCACAACTTAAGCCTTTCCAGTGAAGCGTTATAAAGATGACAACTTCCCAAGCATTCTGATCACTTCAGGCTTGCCAAACTTGCTGGTTAAGGGTTGTTTTGAGCTTTAAATGCGAATTAATTTACAGTGGTCAGGATGAAAGGCTGTTTTATCTTAATCTAGGTGCTGTCACCAGGAGAGATTGGATCAGAGATTGCAGTTTAACTGCTTGAAGGGAAACTAAGGTGGCAGAGTGCCTTCTATTAATTGCTTGGGAGCAGTAGCAGATGTGGTGGCAGCTTCTCTTACTACAATGGCAGTTTGTGCTTAATAGTTTTGAAAGATTCGACTGAAGCTGTTGTGTGGAGTTAAGTGTTGTTTGGAAACTCTTCTCTCTTCAGAGTGACCTCCATTGCAGATCGATTGAATGTAGACTTTGCTCTCATTCACAAGGAGCGCAAGAAGGCCAATGAAGTGGATCGCATGGTGCTGGTGGGTGATGTGAAAGACAGAGTGGCCATTCTGGTAGATGATATGGCAGACACATGTGGTACCATCTGTCATGCTGCAGACAAGTGAGTAGGGCTGACTGGTTCTTTCCTAAATCAGAAACCTATTGTTAGTGAATGCTATGTAATGAGTTAATCAGATTATTTGCATGTCAAGTTTTACAAAATAACATACAGTTTTTTGGTTATCTATCTCATGTCATACAAAATAAGTAAAAATCCTACTTAAAGTTCTCACAGTGGGAATAGCTAGAAGGCCATAGTGTCTTTTTTTATTTGAAAAATGCTTGTGTTGAAGGTGTCTTCCACTAGACCATCACTGACTATGCTAGGTAGACCTAAGTGCTGTCTGGTCCATCAACTTAAGGTCATACATCTGAATTTCTATTAGAAGTAAGCTTTTCAAGCTTTGATATCTCTCAAGCCACATACACTAGAAATGCCAGCACATGCAACACTCAGTAGTGAATATCTGCTACCTTGTGTTGGCAAAAATCACGGAAGGTGACTTGTATGATGTAGTCCAGATGTCCCAGGGCTACAAACAATTTTTTTCAATGTATACTTTGCCTGTGGTGGATTTTATGGTACTTGTTAAACTGTTTTCTTCCCCCAAATCAATAGTGGGCTGGAGGTGGGAATCAAAGGTTGCCTGTCCCCTAAGCATATGGTATTGTCTCCTTTCAATGCTTACCATGTGCCCTGCACTAATGTCAGTTTAATACTTGCGAAGAATTTCTCATCCTTCTCCTTTCCCCCTGACCCTTGTAGGCTTGTGTCAGCTGGAGCCACCAAAGTTTATGCCATCTTAACTCACGGGATCTTTTCTGGGCCAGCAATTTCTCGGATCAACAATGCCTGTTTTGAGGCAGTTGTAGTCACAAACACAATACCCCAGGAGGACAAGATGAAGCAGTGCCCTAAAATCCAGGTGAGCATCTACTTTCTCTTCTGTCACTCCTGGGGCGTGGTAGCACTTGTCTGTCCTCCTGTGTTGTATGCATGACAATTGAATGCTTATATAAGTGCAAGTAGATCCCTGTCGTAGCACAACTTAAGCCTTTCCCGTGTAACGTTATAAAGCATTGTATGTCTTCCACTAGACCATGACTGACTATGCTAGGTAGAACTAAGAGCTTAAGGTCATACATCTGAATTTCTATTAGAAGTAAGCTTTTCAAGCTTTGATATCTTTCAAGCCGCATACACTAGAAATGCCAGCACATGCAACACTCAGTAGTAAATATCTGCTACCTTGTGTTGGCAAAAATCACGGAAGGTGACTTGTATGATTTAGTCCAAATGTCCCAGGGCTACAAACAATTTTTGTTCCCTCCTGTTGGTGGGAAAACCCCATAATACTGTCTAGTGTTTACAGCAGTTTCATTGTACTTGAATCAGTGGCAGTGTTGACTCGTTCTCTTGTTCCTACTGCTGTGGGATAACAGACCTGTTACACTGATAAATGCAGCTTCTAATCCGGCTCATCTTAAATGGTTCATTTAAGTAAATTTTTTTTCAGGGCTTGTTTTACTGGGATCAGATCACTGATCTAATGGGGCCATGATGTAAGCAAGCAGTTGTACCTGTACACTTTGGAGGAGTGATATGCTGATGACATGTAATACTGAAGCAGAAACAGATAGGAACTTCTGAAGTTGGTAATGCCAGCTTCAGTTGTGTATCTATCACCTAATGCCCAGCCCTTTAGGCAGAGTGTCTCTTCCTTTTGTGAAGCGACGTGGGCCTGGTCTGGGGAACGTGAATGCTTCATGTCTGGTCATAACAGCAGTGCAGGTGAGATGGAGAGGGAGTGCAGTCTTGTCCCACGGACATGTCTGGCTGGTTTGACTAAGAGCAGTTGACACAGCTCCACAGTACAATGTTCAGATACTTGCCAAAGATAAACAAAGCCACTTTGCCATCGACATGAAAACTAAAAGCTGGTCTCCTGATGCTCACTCTGTGTCTTGGGTTTTCCATTTAGGAAGAGTACTGTGGCATTTTGTTTCCCAAGCTGAGGCTGACTTTCCTGGATGAAAAAAAAATTGGCTGTACTACTTGAGCTAGGCAGAACTTGAGGATTTCCTGTGTTAATGGATAGCTGGAAGTTGCAGCTTTACCTGAGCATTCAGGCAGAATAGGTCCATCAGCAGCTTCAGGTACTGCTATAGCATACACACAGCCAAGGACATTCTAAATACTAGCTTCACAGCACAAATATATAGGATGGGCATTTGGAGAAGTTCTGGGAAGTGAATGGCACTGCTAAGACTCAGCTAGTACTGTGTTTTCAGTGTAGCAGGTTCCCCAGTACTGGGGTTCTGATGAAAAGGAAGCTCAACTGCTTGAAGCTGCAATGAATTTTAAGCTGCTTTTGGAAGTAAGTTATAAGCTGATTGCAAACCGCTATTGGGTTGTGTTTTTTTCAACACTAACTTCTCAATGATATTCTTGCAACTGAGCACATCTAAAAGATGTCTGGTGCTTCAACTTATTTCCAAGCTCCACATTACAGTTAATGTAGGCAAAATGTTAAACTGGTAATCAGTATGTGAATAGCTGTAGCCGAAGATTGTAGTGGAGTAGTTTTTCAGGCTCTCACTTAACATCTCGCTGTTCTACACTAACATCTGATGTTCAGTGTTGACAAACACAGAACTAAAGGATTTGTTATGAGTCTCATGCTCTGTCTGCTCTGCAGCTCTTAGTTTTCTCTTTCCTTCCTTAGGAGGCAAACTATCTGGAAGAAAGAAAATGTTAAATATGGATTTCACTTAGTTTCCTTAACACACTGAACACGGTGCCTCTTACTGAGACTACATATATCAAAATGCTTTAGCTGCTGGGGTTCAGAGCTAGTTTTGAGACTTGACTTCCCCCCTATTAACTGGATTACCCCACCAGGTGGAGCCAGCACAGTGACTGGAGCTGAGCTGCAGCGCAGTAGCTTCATCTTTGTTAGACTGCTGGCAGTGATGGTAAAGCCTCATGACTCAAGGGATGTGATCTGATCTTGATTTAGAGTCCCCTAACTTCTCTGCAACCTACACAAAGTGAGTAAGATAGTCCTAGGGTAAACAGACTGAGCTTAGGGAGTCTCAGCAAAGTGACAGTAGACTGTCATCCTGACAAAGATCAACAGTGAAATGATTTTTGTAGTTCTATATGTAGAATATCTTCAGAATTATGTGTAACTAAATCCCAGTCCTGTGTAGAAGTCATTTGTCTGCATCTGGCATGTTATAAATCTGGGTGATGAGTTTACTCTTTAAATTCTTCCTAACTTAACCAGCCGTTCTTCCAGGCTTGATGTCTTTTCTCAGTGATGCTGATGCATCTTTCTTCTCTTCCAGGTGATTGACATCTCAATGATCCTTGCGGAGGCCATCAGGAGGACTCATAATGGGGAATCTGTTTCCTACCTATTCAGCCATGTCCCTTTATAACAACAGATGCCAGCTGCTGCTTGTATGGCTTTTTTTTAAAACCAAAAGTTGTTCAGCTTGTTGTAAAGTTCAGTAGAAGACTCTGCTTGTTCCAGTGCAGTTCTCCACAGCTCCTCCTGCTTAAGTCAGGCTTACTGGCTCTGATCCCAACACTGGGAGGCTGGGGAGGGGAAGCTTATCTCTGTAACACTCCAACTCCACCAGCAACCCTGTGCATTGGGGCTCATCAGTAGTATTGACCCAATTCTGCAGATCTGTGGAGAGCGGGACTGACACATGGCTAATTGCCACAATTATTTTGATGGGGGGAGGGAGAGGGTTTGTTTATGGGCAGGGTTAAATGATCTGGCATGCGCACCCTAAATTGTTTGGGAAGTAGAGCTCCCTAGGACATGTTGACCTGGATCAACAGCAAGAGCCTGAGAGACTGCTGGCTGTCTTACCACTCTGTACCTGGCAGAAGCCCTTGAAGAGCGATGGGGAAGGCTTGTATCTTGGCCAAGCTTGACCCTAGGCGAAGCCCTGGGGGACACATAGGAGCTGGTTCTGCTACAGCTTCCTCCCATGAAAGGAGATCAGTGTAGCTTGCAAACTTGAATTCATCTTAATTATCGATGAAATTAAATGCCCTTTAGCATGCTACAAAGCCAAGTAAAGGTGAGAGCATGGTCTGTGCAGTACTGCCTTGCTGTGTTAACTTAGTGGTGAAGGTGCATCCTGGACAAGCATTCTTTTCCCTCTTACGTAGAGGACTCATGGTGGTTGTGTGCTTTAGTTTCTAGTGTAGGCTAAAACCAGTTCCTCAATTTCACAGCTTACTGTTAGCCTTGCTAGTGATTAGAGGACTGCTGTCATGTACTACAGCTGCACCTTGACTTGCTGTGCAAATCCGTGATCCTTTTTTTACCAGTACACTAGTAAACCAGGCCTCTTTATCCCATAGTAGCTTGGTTGTTGCATCTAGCAAGTGCCTGCTCAGACACTGGGGTGACCTAATACACAACAGCTTTGTGTCCAGCTCTCTTAGCCTCTCGTTGCCTGCAATCCTGTTGTCCTGTAAGTTGCTGACACATTCTGGTTGCTTGTCCTGGTCACTGTCTGCCTTGCCTTGAAAGTGTTGCTCCTTGCAAAAGATCCTAAACCAAGGAGGTTTGCAGGACTACAAAACCTGAAGAAACCCTTGGAGCAGGTCTGATGCTGTTAATGAATGCTTATGGCAATGGGTTGAAGAGGCTGGTGATACATAGTACTGGGAAAACTGTAGATCTAACACCAACCTGACAGGCAGCAAAGTGCCTGAAAGAAAAATACCAAAACTAGAGCTGGCTGAGGCTCCCAGATGTAATAAATATCATCTGAAACTTGAATACTTAGTAACTACCAGACAATCGTAAGGTAAACTGTTAAGTCTCTCCTGGACTCTTATGGGGTTATAGACCAAGCTGGTTTATGCTCTGGTTTTTATAAGCACTCCTCTTTTATTTGTTTTTGAGCTGGAGGAAGGGAAAAAGGGAAGAGAAGGAACTTCAAATGACTTGCTAAAGTAACCAGCATGGCTTTGAGAGGCTAGGGGCTGGGGTGTAAGTGGAACTAACTGGAGGACTTGGTTAAGATCTAGGGAAGTACTTCTTTAGTTGTGCCTTTTACTGAAGACTTCTCTCCCTTCCCAGAACTCCTGTCCTGTGGCAACGTTAACACTTCTATTACAGTGTAGGGTTTTTCTTTTTGTGTAAGAATTGGTGTTTGTCTGGAAAGTGTGTGTCTCTTGCTTCTTTGCTTTGCATCCTGCACTGAGCTCTACCAAGAGTCTGATTCCTGCCTCCTGTATTGGAGCCCCTGCTGCCACACTGCCGATGCCCTGAGAGCCAAGAGCCAGGACATCGGAGCAGCGGTGTGAGGATTTTCAACAGCATTTGTGTTTAAACTTAAGACCCGATGAAGGAATTAAACTTTTATTTAAAAACCATGGCCTCTGCCTGTTAGTGCTTCTAAAAACCTTACAAAGGTGATGTGCATCTTCTGAGTTGTGCCACTTGCAAGTTTGATCATGGAGTAATGTTATTTGGAAGGTGATCTGGTTTAATCCTCTTGCAGTGGGGCTGACTGTGAGGTTGAGCTTGGCTGTGCTCACATTGCATGGAAGAAAAAGGTTGGGACCAAGCTACTTCTCTTAGTGGGTAGTGGCTTTTGTCTGTATCTGATTTCCTAGACTTAATTGTTAGAGGCAGTAGTGGAGTTTCTCTTGTACTGTTCAATTATGTATTTGAGCAGATCTGTTCACATCATGTTTGGGGGGGGAAACCTGAATAGTTTAGCAAGTACAAAAGAAGAATTGCTAATTATCTTGCACAAAGCTAATGATCAGAGGCAGCAGGATTATGTCCTGAGAAGCACTTGTTCTGACTAAACCATGATTCTTTCTCATTGTGTATTGTAGACTGGGAAAGTATAAATGAAGTTAGAAGGATGAGATGGCAGGTCTAGAGAAAGGTCTTTGGCCTTACAATAGACTTCCAGGCCTAGATTGAACATTGCTTCAGGAAGCACAGCCGTGGCCTCAGGAAGACTTTTGCTGAGGATTGCTACTGCCATTCATCTGTTAAAACATATTTCAGTACTTGTCAATGAGGAATATGTGTCTTGTCAGGGTGATGTAGCAGACTTCACCTTCCTTAGAGAAGAAACAGAACATGAGCTTTACAGCCCAAAATTTGTACAAAGGTGACCATTGCTATTGGTGTGTATATACTGTTTTCTTAGTTACTTTAATAAAACCTGGGGGTTGGAGTGGGGGAGGGCACAGACTTAAAATGCTGTATGACAGCACTGTGGCTCTTAAAAGGATAGGTGATACACGAGGTATGAGAAAATACTTTCTAGTTACTAAACCTATTTATAGGCAGGTTGTGGCTGACAGACTGAAAGCGACCATTGTGCTATTGGAGCAAGTATGGCTGCCTTTAACATGTGCAAATACTAGAGTTAAAGGACTCTTCTCCCTGCCCAGGACAGTCATGGGTGTAGTACCAGGCAGCTGTGGGAAGGGCGTCCCTCCACTGCAGTGTGGGCTGGGAGAAAACCAGCCCCTGAGGTGTGAATGGCAGAGAGCCAGGTTGCTCCAGTGTCCTCCGGGTTTGGGAGTGATGCAGGGATGCTCATCCCTTAGCCCAGACAAGTTCAGCTCCAGCAGCATCAGCCATGCTGTGAAGTGCTTGTGCTACCTTAAACTACCTGCTGTAGTGGAGGTGATTCTCCAGCCTGTCTTGGAGAGCTGCTGGAGTGAGTATGGAGCGCGCAGGGTGCTCTGGAGGTGAATTGTGTGGTGTCTTCTCAGGCTTTCTTCACAGATGCTGAAGAAATACCATAGAAAGCAAGTCCTTACTTCCCCAGGAGAAAACCCCAAGTGAGTAATTTGCTGTGCTTTTGTAGTTGGAGAGAGCTGGAAGAGTAGGACGGAGCTACAGCAGCTTGCAGTACCACAGACGCAGTGGGAGCATGGCTGCAGGTGTGCAGGTGCCGATACTGGTGCCAAGTAGCTGCCTCATGTTTGTCTGCTGTAAACGCAGCAGCAGAAGGGAACACGTCAATCAGAAGTTCTGCATCTTGGCCCAGCTCACCTGCCTGGTAGCTGAAGCTAACGCGCAGGGTGGGGATGCCTTAAGCTGCTGTGAAAGCTGGGCTTACCCAGCCTCGCAGGCAGCAGGAGTTGTCTGCTGTTGGGAGCAAGACAAGAGACCTCAGCTGCTGTCACCAGCAGCTCCCTCCTGCTGCTTCTCCCTGTGCCTGACTAGTGTACAGATGATTTCCCAGCTAGAGTTGATGTTTCTGTGATCTAGAGAAAGCAGCAGCTTGCCTTGCTGCTGTTGGGCAATGGGAAAGTAGTAAGGGTTAACAGAAAAGCCCTTCTCTAAGCTGCAAGGAGCAGCAAAATCCACGGGAGGAATGAGCCCTGGTGTAAGACAGAACAGTCTGAGTGTGCTGGCTGCCTTCCTGGGGCGCTCTGCTCCTGCCACGGTGGAAGGAAAGGGTCGTGGCAGGAGGCTGGGGTTAAAAATGAGCAGCAAAAGGTGAACTGTGGCCCTGTGGAGTAGGGGGACTGGCTCACTGCTGGGCAGCAGTAGCTGGAGGGGGCTCAGGTACTGGCTGGCTGTGGTGATTCCTGCCTGTCCCTGCAGGCAGGAGGCTGAAAAAAACCTCTCTGATCAGATAGAGAAAACCTCCTGCCTCCTCCTTCCTGTAGAAGAGAATAAAGTGTTCCTGGAAATGGCCATCAGCGAGGCTGTGTCTGAGCCCCGACAGCCTTGTTCTATGGGAGATTTAAAATGCATCTAAAATGGCTGGCAGACATTCCCTTCTATTTCGGGTCAGGGTTGGTTTTGCTTTCCCCCTATCCGTTGATGTCTCAGTTCTTTTATTATAAATTATTGAAAGCAGAAATACCAAAACCCATGAGAAAGAAGCAGGTTGTACGGTTACAGGAGGCTTTGCAAATTTGTCAGGGGAAAAAGCTCTTGCTGGGATATAAGCTCCTTTCTTGTTCTTTGTGCAAGATGAGTTTTAAAAGCTCCCCAGCAGCAGCCCTGCACCTTGCCTGCTGGAAATGCAGAGGGTTGACTTTAAAGCTGCTCCGGCCGTGGTTTGTAGGAGCGTGGCGGTGCCTTCCCTGCCTGCGCAGCCACCGTGGCGGCTTTGTGCCCAGACAAAGACCCCGCGGTTTGCAAAGCGCTGCAGCATCGAGGAGATGCAACACGTCGTGCAGGGGCTGTGTCTTGGCTGGGGTGGGTGCAGTTGATGTTGGTGAGGGGCTGCGCACGGGGAGGATGGGCACCAGGTCCTTTCGCACTCGCTGCCGGCCAGGGACAAAAGCTACAGCAGAGCATGCAGCATCCGCAAAGGAGAAGCATGTGGCAAACAGGCAGGGAAGGAGGGGGAAGCTGGGGGGAAGGTGGGAACAGCTGGAGAGTAAGCACCCAGCAAAACACTTGTCTCACTATTTGCATAAAGGCAAAAAGGATTTCCTGCTTTCATTTCGAAACTGGGTGGGTTTTTTTGTTTCCTTTTGGCTGTGTAGGAAAACTGAGCCCTTTCTCAGCTCGGGGCGGGCTTTGTGATGCAGGCTCTGCAGGGTGGGTTTGAAGGATGCTCGCGAAGGCAACCCTGCCGGGGCTTGCTGCTCCTGGCTATACAGCACCCTCCAAACCTGGTCCTGCCAGCACCAAATCAAAGCTGCTCTGGGAGCGGCCTGGCCTGGGGCTTCGCCTACAGCCTCTTCCTCTCCCCCCAGGGGACGGGGACTGGTGGCTGTTTGCCATCCAAACTTCTCTCAGAGTAGCAACCACATCTTAGGACCTGGCCTCAGACCTTGGCCTTTGCCTTTTCTGCATACACCAACCATTGGCATTTCTTTAATTCAGAGCCCAGTTGGTGTCTGGAGCGGGAAGTTGCCTGTGTCCTCAGGGCTTTGCCTCTGGCCAAGAGCTGCTGTTGCTGGAGAGTACCGAGCCCCTGTCCCAAGATGGCAGTCTTCTAGCTAAAA